TGTGTGTGTGTGTGTGTGTGTGTGTGTGTGTGTGTGTGTGTGTGTGTGTGTGATGAGGGAGTAGTGGTACATCTGCCAAAGCAAGCTGGTGAAGGTCAGAGGATAACCTTGTGGAGTTGATTGTTTCCTTCTGGCTTTAGGTGGGTTCCAGAGATCATTTGCATGCCATCAGGCTTATGTGTCACCATGTGGTTGCTGGGAAGTGAACTCAGGACTTTGGAAGAGCAGTCCAGTCAGTGCTCTTAACCACTGAACCATCTCTCCAGCCCCTGGCTGCCTATTTTGTGTCAGGAGACTTGAACCTAGCATTGGCAACAATGGAGGTTGGCCTTGGTGGCAGTGCACACCTTTAATATCAACAGAGGCTGGTGGGTTCTGTGATTTCAAGGTCAGTCAGGGGCACACAGTGACATTCTGTCTCTAAAAGAGAAGAGAAGAAAATGAAGAATAAGTCGAGCATTTGTTCAGTATTTTTTTTTTTTTAGAGATTTCTTTATTTTTTTTGTATGAGTATACTGTAGCTATCTTCAGACATACCACAAGAGGGTATCAGATATCATTACAGATGGCTGTGAGCCACCATGTGGTTGCTGGGAATTGAACTCAGGACCTCTGGAAGAGCAGTCAGTACTCTTTACCACTGAGCCATCTCTCCAGCTCCCATTCAGTAGTTTTTAATATGGGATGGATTGTACTGGCAATTACAGGGATAACTGCTGAAAGTGACCCTATGGGAATGCATGGCACAGTTGAAAATACGTGAACTGACACATTCCCGGGAAGGTAGAGGCATGAGAGTCAGTAGTTCAGGATCATTTGGGATGCATAGTAAATTCCAGGCCAGCCTGAAATACATGAGACCATGTTAGACAAGAGAATGCACAAGCAGAAGCTTGTATGCCTACATCTGCTGATGCCTGTGAAGCCAGAGTTCTTCATCCATAAAACTGAATGATCCCTATTAGGGGTCACTGTAACAGCACAAGTACTGGTGGGTTATGTACGTTACCAATGTTTACTCACTAGTTATTCCTGATTTCTCCTTGGCTGAAATATGGCAATAAAATATCTATCTTCTTTGTTAATATTTAATGAGCATATACTGCATTATGTCATTAAAGTATTGCCTTGTTTACTTTCCCTAGCAGCTCTATGAGGTTATTCTCAACTCTAGTTCTTTTTGCTTTGTAGATGGGGAGACTGACAGTTTAACACTTGGCCAAGGCCATATACCTGGTAAGTGATGGAGCTGCTCCACGTGACCCCAAAGCTCTCATTCTTTGCATCTTTTTAAAATTGAGATATAAATTTTTCATACAAGGAAATGTTCCTATCTGAAAATGTCAATCGAATCATTGTAACCCATCTTCAAAATTTCCTTACGCTTTTTCTTATTTTGATCCACTACTTAATCCCTAAAACCTAGTAACTTCTTAATACTTATTCTACAGTCTTACATGCATGATTTCACACACATTTGCTCTTTTGTGCCTCTGTAGCCCAATATTTGACAGTAATCTATGATGCACGTGTTGATAGTTCATCTCTCTCTCTCTCCCTCCCCCCGCCTCTCCCCCCCTCTCTCTCACTTTTTAATATTTATTTAATATTGAAGGGGTGCATGTGGGAGTCTGTTCTCTCCTTTCACCATGAGGATCCCAGGATTTGAACTCAGGTTGTTAGGCTTAATATCAAAGGCCTTTACCCGGTGAGCCATCTCACTGGCCCAATAGTTAATTTCTTTTTATTGCTCAGTAGTATTCCACTGACAATGTCACAGATAATTCTTCTGTTGACACCTGGGCTATTTCTACTTTATTATAGAAAATACAGTTATAATATTTCTTACACAAAATTTTGTATACATAACATGCTTATTGATCCTCTAAGGCATAATAAAAATTAGTGGTAGTAAATGCACATTAAATTTTTTATAGAGTCTCCAGTATTTCAAAATGGTTTTTACATTTTATAGTTTTAGTACCATGTGAATTTCACTTTCATGTGCTTGCAAGTAATTTGTATTGTCAGGGTTTTATTTTTAGAACTCTAATGAGCATTGTAATTGGATGGGATTTTTAAATCTGCATTTCTTGGAATGTTATCATACACTTATTGGATATTCATATATCATCTTTTTAAATGGCTCAAGTCTTGACCATTAAAAACATCAAGCTCTTTGTCTACTTTTTGTATTGTTGGCATTTTTATGTTTTGTTTGTCTGTTTGTTTTTGTTTTTCAAGATAGGGTTTCTCTGTGTAGCCCTGGCTGTCCTGGAACTCACTCTGTAGACCAGGCTGGCCTCGAACTCAGAAATCCGCCTGCCTCTGCCTCCCAAGTGCTGGGATTAAAGATATGCGCCACCACTGCCCAGCGGCATTTTTATATTCTGGGTTTGTCATACGATATGTGTGGTAAGAATATTTTCTCCTAGTCTGTTTTTTTTTTTTTATTTAGCATGTTAATATGATGGATACAACTTGTAATTTTTTATGAAGCCTTATTTTTGGAATCTTTTATTATTGATTCTTATATCTTCACTAGAAAATCTTAGTTTAACCAAATTCAATTTTTTTTTAGAAACCGATTTTAAGACTACATAATAGACTATATAATAATGGCATGTTTTATAAAATAGGAATCAAAGTCTTTCTCTCTTTTTTTTTTAAAGGTTTATTTATTTATATGAATACACTGTAGCTGTCTTCAGATACACCAGAAGAGGGCATCAGACCCCATTACAGATGGTTGTGAGCCACCATGTGGTTGCTGGGAATAGAACTCAGGACCTCTGGAAGAGCAGTCAGTGCTCTTAACCACTGAGCCATCTCTCCAGCCCCCTAAAGTCTTTCTCATATGGAAATTTGTTTCTTGTCAAAGTCTCAATGAATATTTTGAAGTTTTTCTTTTAAAAAAAATCTATGTGAAACTATGGGGTTTTTATTCTCTTTCATTAATTTTTTTGAATCTTCTCACAAAAGCCATAGTGTCTTGAAACCGGGGGTGGGGTTGGGGGGTTATTTCCAGTCTTCCTTTTCAAAGTTATTTTGGCTTAGTTTTTTTTGTTTTGTTTTTAAAAAGTCCATATAAAGTTTAGAATCAACTTATTTAAACAAAAATATTACCGAGATTTTATTGAGTTACATTGTTTCTATCAGAAAGAATTGTCTTTATTCTTTTCAGTGCTGGGTAAACTGAGGATCTTGACCCTGTGAGCAGAGTTTTATCCTGGCTCAAGTTGCCATCTTAACAATAGCAGTCTTCTAATCCTTGGATTTAGTTTGTCTTGCCACTTAATGCAGCATCTTTATTTTTTCTCATTAATGCTTTAAAAATATTAATGTTTATCTTGCTGTTCTTTAAAATTGTTTGTAACTATTTTGCTTTTTAATACTATTATGAACCAAACTGGTTTTAAAGTTTATTTGCTCAATTGTTGCCTAGTTGTATAGATATGCAATTGATTTTGTGTATTGAACTTGTATGGAATTTGTTTACTAGTTCTGCTAGTCACTTATAAAAATTTGTTGGGACTTTTGTGTGCATAAAGTTGTGTGAATAAAGACCACCTTATGTTTTCCTTTTTGATGTTTATGGTGTTTATTTATTTTTCTTACTGTACTGGGTAAGATTTCCAGTATAGCGGTGGATATTGATGGCAGTGATATTCTTGTCTTGTTCTGAACCTTAGGTAGAAAGAGTTCATTTTCCACGGTCAAATATGATGTTAATTCTATAGACATTTTTCTTTCAGTTATCATTTCAAATAATTTTTCAATTGCATATGCATGTAATTAATACCAAGTTTTTCTGTATAGCTCCTGGTGGCATATAACACTCTGTGTGTGTGTGTGTGTGTGTGTGTGTGTGTGTGTGTGTGTGTTTGTGTGTAATTGATAGCAGATTTTTCTGTGTAGAGCTCCATGTAGCTCAGCTAAGCTCAGTGTTCAGGCTGGCCTTGAGCTCATAATTGTCTTGGGTCTGCCTCTTAATTTAGGGATTACTGGCACTGACTGCCATGTCTGGCTCTTGTTTGTGTATGTGCATGTATCTGTGTGTGTGTGTGTGTGTGTATGTATGTATGTATGTATGTATGTATGTATGTGCATGACATTGTACCACTGTGTGCATGTGGAGATCAGCAGCCAACCTCTGACATCAGTCCCCATTGTCTGCCTTGTTTGAGAAGAGGGTCTCTGTTTTTTTCCACTCTATAAGTCAGACTAGCTAGCTTGGGAGCCTCTGGAAATTCTCCTTTTTAGGCCTTTCCTCTCCTGGTAGTAGCATCAGGATTATAGATGTTTCTGCTACAGATCTGCCCTTTGCTTGGGTTTTGATTGTTTAAATTCAGGCCCTCAAACTTTGTGGCAATTGCTTTTACCCCCTTAACCATCTCTCCTGGGCATGGCTCTTCTTTTATCTTTTAAATTTGTAATAGAAAACAGGTGACATTTGCTTTCAGTACTTTCAAGCATGGCATTCAGTAGTATTGATTACATTCACGTCAGTGTATAATGTCATCAGCATTCATCTATAGAACTCATATTTAGAACTGAAATTCAGACTATATGTTAAAACTTTGTTTTTAGTAACTTCCTGTATTTCCTAGGACCTGTCAATCTACATATGTAACAGAATGGCTATATATGTCAGGACATTTTTCTGAGCATCCTATTCTATTTGTCTATATGTCATTATCTCTGTACCACAGTGTTGTGATTATTATAGTTTTGTAATAAGTTCTTTCTGTATCTCTGGATTTTACTCCATATAGATACCCCTATTAGTGGAATCACATTTGTTCTTTTGTGACTCCACAAATAATGCTCTCAAGATTTATTCATATTGTTGTGTAATCTGTTAGAATTCAGTTATTCTTTAAGGCTGGATAATGTGTCATTCATATATATATATATATATATATATATATATATATATATACATACATACATACCATATTTTATTTATTTATTCACCAGTTAGTAGATGCTTGGTTTCTTCAACACTGAGCTATTGTGAATAATCTTGTTGTGAACATGGGTGTCCAAAAGTGTATCTCTGAGTTCCTATTTTAATTTCTTTTGGGACTATATCCAGAAGTGGAATTTCTGAACCATGTGATAACTGTCTTTTTTGTTTTTAAGTAACTTCTGTTTTTAAAAATTATTTTATATAATTTTTTACTTTTTGAGATCTTATCCATTCACCCACGCCCCCATGTCATCCCAAGTACCACCTCCAACTTTCTTTCAAATTCATAGACTCTTTTTCTTTAATTTTTGTTATGTATGTATATATGTTGTATTGTTTTTAATACCAGAATCACCATTTTATATTTTAGCTAACCGTGTGTATGTGTGTGTATGAATTCCAGTTTCTCTACATCCTTACCACCTCCTGTATTTTTTATTGTTTTTCAATACTCGAGTTTGAACTCAAGGATTAGAGTATGTTAGGTAAAGTACTTTACCACTGAGCCACACCCTATCCCCCAGTGTCACAACTGCTTTGCTTTTATGGCTGTAGAACTGTAGTCAGGTGTTTGTTTGTTTGTTTTTGAAACAGTGTCCTTTCCTACTAGCCTTGGCTGGCCAGAATTTGTTATGTAGACCAGGAAGGGTCATAAGAGATCCCACCTACCTCTTCTTCCCAAGTACTGGGATTTAAGATGTGTATCAGCATCTCCAGACCCAGTTTCTGTTTTTTTGTGAGAAAGAATCACTCACTGTGTATCCTGGACTGACTTGGGATTTGCAGTCTTCTTGTATCAGCCTTCAGATGCTAGGATTGCAAGTATGTGCCACCACTCCTAGGCTTTTAGTCAGTTTTGAAGTCCGTAAGCTATACATTAAAAAAGATAAAATACAATCAGCTTTTGGAAACTTCCCTTTCTATTTGTAGCTTGGTAGGATTTTTTTTTGGTAGGATTTTTATTATGAACAATGTCTAAGTTTTTAAATATAATTTCTGTATCTTGATGTATGTGTTTTGTTGATGTGGTTTTACTGATTGAGGTTTGAAAGTTGAATGAGCATATAACTTGGGGGAGGGGGAACTCATGTAGTTATGGGGTATTAAAATTTTCATGTCTTGATAAATTAAACTTGGGAAATTAATTTTGTTAAACAGATTAACCTTTGGGAGCCAAAGCTAATCTTAACCTCATTACCATGCTGTCTGTAAACAATTTTTGTTTTTCTTTAACCCATTCATTATCTTGAGTACATATCTTTTA